CGTTCATGTGTGACGCGTGTCCCGTAAGGGACGTCTCTTCCTTCTCCTAATTAAACGACGTTTCTCCGCTAAATAGGTAATTTTCATTTATTTTTAATCACAATTACCTTAAGCAACTCACTTTAAAAACCGCGATAATGATGCTCTTAGTACCCATTACCCATTATAATCCGCAGAGATGCATGTGGATATATGTATTATTGATCTAAAATGCTACTTATTTGTTTCACAGTAAGTATTGTTTTAGCTAGATTTTTGTTTCACCAAAATGTTCCTTTAATTTGTACTTTTGCCAGAAGAAACAGTTTAATTTTTTTCAACACAACTGCTTTAATACTTTAAGGTCCATATTTAAAATTTTTGTTATTAAATTTGGGCCAAATATTAATTGATTTTAGGGTCCATGACAAATATATAACCTCGTTACTCTTCCTTACCTCTAGGGCTTTTACAAAACAAAACAGAGAGATGATGAAGAGAGGAAACGAAGAGAACAACCACAAGACCTCCTCACCACCGCCTACACAACGTCTCGCTGCCGTGAAATCTCCACCGGAGAAAATTCCGACGATATCAATATCCCTTTTGATCTAACGGTGGAGATACTCAAGAAACTCCCAACAAAATCTATCTTGAGGTTCCAATGCGTCTCGAAGCAATGGTCATCAACCATTGGATCATGTAGACACTTCATTGACTCGATCGTAACTCGGTCTTTGACTCATCCGCAACACGCGATACCCAAATCATCTACCACCACAATCAAGATTATCCGAAACATAATTTCTTCATCTTTTCGTCTACTTACCCTAAAAACACGGACAAAGAATCAGTATCCACCACTGCTGCATCGTATCAACACGCCCGCGGTTTGATTTGTTGTTGGTCAGACTGTCCTAATTCATTAGCCATATATAACCCTACACGAGACAGTACTTTGCCTTACCGGTTACGCACCTCTACTACATAGTCTTTTGCCTCTTTGGATACGACCCTCTCAAAAACCAATACAAAGTAATGTGCCTACCAAGATACGATATGAAGGAGCAGGCTTGTCAAGTTTTCACATTGGGAGATGATCACACGTGGAGAAACATCCAAGGCATTGGATTTCACCTTCACTTTTCACCTCCGATTTGTATCAACGGGGTTACCTATTACCGAGCAAATAAAGAAAACCGTGGTAGTAACTATTTCTTGGTGAGTTTTGATGTTAGCTCCGAGAAATTGTCTCGCCTCGAGGCTCTGAAAACACTGATAGATCATTGGTGTACTCTGATAAAGTACCAAGGGAAGTTAGGTTTCATTTGTTGCCAAAAAGGCGTGGAGATTTGGGTTATGGAGGATAGTGGTAAGAAGCAAGAATGGTCCAAGATTATCTTTTACGATATGGAGGGATTTGAAAAGTGGCACATTGGGGGTGTAACTCATGGTGGTGAGCAGGGGCGGAGGCACATTACTAAAAGGTGGGGCAGTTGCCCCGGATGAATTTTTTTTTTATGGTGTATTTTTGATCGGAAAAAAATTTATGCCCCTTTCATATTTTTGTTTTTGTATACTATGCCCCCCATGAAAAATAGTTCTAGATCCACCACTGGTGGTGAGATCGTTTTTGTCCAAAGGTTGGTAACATGTAACCACACATTCGCTGTCTTCTATTATGATACAAATCGAAACAGTTTGAGATGGGCTTGGAGGATGTAGTGCGTAAACTTCAACATGCTCTTCGTATATGGGCTGTTCCGGATTATGTCGAGAATACAATGCGCTTCTAGTTTCACTTTCTAAAGTTATACTTTCTCATATAGTTTAAGATATTCTTTTTTTTTAAGTACATATATAGTTTAAGATATTAATTATGGCAAACTTGTGGTCAACGAAACATAGGTTAGTTGATTAGATTAGTTATATAACTTTATTTTCTAAATCACTATTAATCTATAAGGAATTAAGGATGGTATATTGTTGTGTGTTTTTGCCAATCTTCGTTTGATCGTTGATTATCAAAATAGAAGTTTTGTAATTCCTATATTTTAGTTAACCATATAAACCCTATAACATTGATGTGTCGTTGTTGTGGGATAATGTTATGATTACGTGCGAATAATCAACACAAAACAGATGCATAAAAGATTAGTGGACACATTTTTTCAAGA